CAAACGGCTTTCCCTCCCTAATGCTTCGTGCCATCACTGGGATGCAAACCAGCATACGCCCTGGAACAAGGCAACTCTTGCAACAGAGAAAAAACAAGTCTACTAGGGAGCTAGATTAGAATAGAAGTTTCTGAAGAGATATTCTTTCATTCAGAAGTCGGTTGAGCAAACAGCAACGGCCAAGACCTCGCTCACACATCAGGTTTTGCACTGTCTAAATATATACTACTTGTTTCACATCTTGAAACAATAGCCTACACAGTATTTTTCTTTTCCTAAGGATTTGTTATTTTCAATTATTTTGCATTTATTTCATCTTTTCTTCATCATAGTCTTTGAAAAGAAGCAATTTACAGCCAAGGTAGAAATAAGAGTCGAAGCAGACTTACATGACCTGCTGCCAGGCTGCGCGGGAGGTGCAGCAGGATTTGGAAGACTGGACACAGAATGATGGTTCTTGACGCTAGAGTTCAAGAGCATTCGAAGGTATGCCCTTGCAGACAGCCACGGTTCCTCAGCACAAACCCATCCTGCCTTCCTACAATTGTACTTGTTTGCAGGGACAAACTCCAAGCTGGTTTGCATTTTCCACTGTAGTTTCAGTGCAATGGGGTAACTGGGGTCTGCCGAATGGGCGTGTAAAAGCCCCCCAGGATTCACAGCTGTAAAGACAGCTTTCAGCCTACGGTTAAAGCGTGCACCCTTCCAGCTCAATATGAGGTATTTCATCTCACAATACGTGGATAGAAAAAGAAATGGGGTATGGGCAATAGGGCAGACCTGGAGAAAATCTCTATCATTTCCATAGCTAGGTGCAAATGGGACTGCAGGAGAGACAAGACAGCCTTTTCTCCTGTCCTTCTCTTTTCTATCAGCATGGTGAAAACCCGCCTCTGTCTACAGAGGTGCAAAGAGAGATGAAACAAGTGGCTCTATCCTAGGAGCCTGCCTGGCATTTCAATTAGCCATGGCTGGGATGATTCAGCAACAAGAACTGATGCTGGTAAGAGCAAGACACTTCTGTGAGATGACAAGGGAAGAAGCTTTCATTATAGCAACTCATGGCACTCAGCAAAGGGATGGAGGCTACAGTAGGATCAGCATCTGATGAGCTTGGTAAAACTAGCTGTCCTTAACGACTCCCGGTCTCTCATTAACATCTAAACTGGGTGATAATGAGGGGAAATGGAGAGGCATCAAGGAGTACTTTCTGTTAGAGGGAAGGAAGCACATGTTTACAGTATGTTCAACTTCCCTGATGTTGTTTAAGTCACCTATATATAAACTAGAAGGGCACGCTAGTGGCAAGGACACAGACATGCGGGTGAGGGGAAGTATAAACCCTTGGGTTTACAGGAGGGGAAAAAGATTAACTAAACATGTTTAAGGCTGGCAAGAAATTTCAAGCATATATTAACTCTTAAGCGTTCAAATATTTTGGGGTAACTTACCTGGTTTCAGTGCCTATGGTGATACCTGTGCTCAATTTTGATGAAGGACCACATAAAAAGTGCATTTCCAAAATTATTAAAGGAACAAGCACTGCTAATTGGCATAATTTTGCTCCACAGTTTGTGCTAAATTCTGCTTTCAGTTGCAGTGGTATAAATCTAGACCAATGCCTTGGCTTTCACCAGAACTCTTCTTTATTTATCTAGCTGTCAGGAAGAATTTTTTCACTCCTAAGAGTGGAAACTTTAGGGAGATACTTGGAAAACAAGTGGAATACTGAAATGGCCTCGCTGAGTCAGCCTAGTCCCTTAGTTCTCAGATGCTGCAATCTCAGTAAAAAGATTTGGAAATCTCTTAAAGACTCCTTATGTCCTTTTTCACTTGGAACAGTCTATGGTCAAAAGAACAAGAGGACCTGAATGAGGAACACTAAAACATATGCTTAAAAAAGGGAACAATGTGTTAGTACTAAATATTTCCTTGCTGACATGATTTTTATACCAAAAATACCACTTCTACAGTGGAATTTATGTCATTTCCATAGCAGATATTTGAATCTATAAAAGGCCTGGAGTACCACAAATTTTGGGGTTTACATGCTTATTTCCATGTTATACAAAACATATTTTGCTAAAGTGTTGGGTCTTTAAGGCGTATGTAGCTCACACACAAGTGGTACATATCTTGCTGGTATCTTTTCAGAGTAAAAGCTATAGGAAGCTCATTAAAGGACAGGTCCAACAGAGCTTAAATTCCACATTAATCCCTGGAGATTTTTTCCACCAAGAATTTCCAAGACCTTTTCAAAGACGGAAACATAAGAACTGGAAGAAGATGGCAATAATTAATGAAATCACTTTTAAGTAAAACCCCTTTAAACCTTTCCTTTTGCTGCACAACCACACAAATGACTCAAAGTTAAGTTTACAGAGGCTTTTCTGTTATAGCCCAGATATTTCTTATTATTTTTAGATATTAGATAAGGACTTCTCAGAGGCTTGTACTTTTTACACAACCTTCAGCCCAAAGACTTTTTTTTTTTCCTTACACTTGTTAAATCTACCTTAAACTAACAGAAATTAGAAGAGCACAGGGTGAGTGTCAATGAGTACACTGAGCAGGCTGTCTCTCTAAATGCATGTGGCTTCCCTGGGATGCTCTTTGTTTTGACGCTTTTGCTATTCTAAGAATGCATTTCAGATAGGGAATATTAATTTGGCCTTCCCTTAACAGACACATACTTCCAGAGCTGAAAACTCTTCAGTTTTCCTTGAATGATGGTGCTCAGGGGAATACTAGTATTGGTCAGATGTTGGGTAAGTATTCAAATTGGGAAAATGCAGTTTGACTTCAGGCATAAAGTATTCTCCCGGAATACTTATTACAGACTGACAGCACAGTATGAAGGTAAAGCCTAAGGCTATAAACCTGATGTTAAAATTTCCATTTATAAATCAATAATCACTGCAAACAAAACAGCCTACTCGGTTTTGTGAATGCCACAACTCTTCCTCAGGCACAAGTTGTACGTAAGTTTTGGTAAAAATCCAAAGAGAGCGTTACAAAGCTGAAGTGTACCTGATGGCCCCCTCCCCAAACGGTCAAACCTGTGGGGTGCTGGAGTTGGGCACGGCGTTGCTGAAGGTAGCACAGCCTTTAACCTGCAAGGTGCTACAGAAACCCCAACAGAAGGTGAGCTGAGCTGCTTGGACTCCCGTCAGAGGAAGAAAGTCTGGACTGGCACATCCAGCCCAGAGTACAGCTTCAGATACACCCAAAGGACTCTGGTGCAGAAGGCAGAACCAGGGAAGAGCTATCTACTCTCACGTTAGAGATACCTTCACAGGATGAGTTCAGAAAGTGTCTAGAAATTTCTGTCCTGAGAGCGTCTCCTGCATTTGTTTCCAGAAGTGGAGTAAGGGAGTAAGTGGATGCCCAACCCATAATTCGGCTGAGGTGACTGAAGCTTGCATGCATCTTTCAGGAGCTCAGAGCCCGGAGCCCAGACCTGTCTGCCCACTGCTTACCAGCTACGGCATCACCTCACCTCTGAGCCCTGTTTCCAATTCCAGTTTGTTTTCACAGTGTGCATACGAGCCCTGATGTGCTGCAGAATGCAGTTCCATACGGATATTTACTACCTATTGTTTTAGAAGAGCCAAGCTATTCTTCTTTTCCAGTCTGTAGAAATCACTCTCATTCTCCTCCACATACACAACTCTCTTTTGTTTGTCTCTTAACTTGCTGTGCTTGGCCAATGGCCAGAATCCCTTTTTCTGCCTTGAAGGAGAGTGACAGCATGCCTTTGAAGAAACGCCAAGGCTGCTGTTAGGCTGACCAGCAGGGAGCAATCCTGCCCAACACTCCCTGGCCTCTCCCAGATTGCTTTCCTTCTTTCCCAGAAACATGCAGTCTTGGAGAAGGCAGAGGCTGAGCTGATCACAATTCCCAGAAGAAATTTTTAAGCAACAGATGAAGTTTAAGCACACACAGAGAATGCTGGAGCTGGAAGAGACATCAGAAGATCATCCAGACCATGCTCTTGCCCCAAGGCAAATCCAGCTGTACCTACAAGACACCACTGACAGATATTTGTCCGACTGGTTCTTACCAGCTTCCAGTCACCGGCAGTAATATTTCTGCAGGGAGACCAGTCCAGCACATCACTTACCGTCAGAAAGCTTTGGTCAATCTACCCTCTCTTACTTCAGTTTAATCCTATCAGGTCTTGTCTCAATATGGACATGGAGAACTCATTCATGATATCATTTGGTTTCTGACAGCAGTTTAAAACACAGAGAAGCAAGCTGTAACTAGTTACCCTGGACATGGTGCCTGTACTTTTTGTGTCTCCAAAAACACTACGCTTCTCTGTTGACACAGTGCCTTTATCATCAGCACAGTAACCGTTCAGCACCGACTCAGAGAGACGACCATGAGTTCACTGCCTTTATTTCCCATCTTTCCTTGGAAGATCTCCCTCTGGCCACTGAACAGCCCTAACCTCACTGACTTCACAGATTTAATTTGCTCACGTGCTAATACTGCTGCATACTTATAATAAGGGGTGAAAGGTAAAAGTCTGTGCAAAACTAAAAACCTTCTCTGCACAAGACAAAGGCTTTACAGAGTGTCTAATAACATATTTCCTGCATTTATTTCCTACAGATTCGTCTTAGTCTTGGCCTTGGGACGCTGCTCATTTCCTACTATGACTATGATACTCGGCTGGTAAGACGAGAGAAGGTGAAATTCTGATTCAACATTTGCAATGCAGCTTGGTGGGTTTTTTTGTCTTTTTTTAAATTAACCAGTTGCTTACGGCATTTTTGTGTCTCACACTGGTAACAGGGAAATAGAAAGGTACAATGGTACATGTCGTGCTCTGATAACAAATCTAATTGTTTCAGCTTGAGGGGGATAACTGCGAGAAGATTTGATAGGTGTTTAAAAGGTTTTTCTTTTTTCCCTTTAAATGTTCCTGAGACACAAAATGAAACTAAAAACTTCCCACGATAACTGTAAATTGCCAGTGCTTACCCTTGCACTTACCCAGTAGAGGGGTTCATGATGCAGCCCCCTTTATCGGTGGATGCTTTGCAGTTACAGCCCCTCTCCATTGTATCATGATTCATCCCAAAATTGTGTCCCAGTTCATGAGCCAGGGTGACTGCTGCACCTAGCGGGTTTTCTGAGTGATCCTTAAGGAAAGGAAAAAAAAAAAAAAAAAAAGAACTAGTGAGGTCAATGTATAAAACCAATTTAAAATACACATTCCCCCTCTAAGGCCACTAAATCCCCCAAACTCCCGAGACATGGCAGTGGCAGAAAACAGTCACCCAGATGTGGAGTGTTGGGAAGGGTAATCATTTATGGGAGAGGAGGAGTGTGATGAGGGAAAAGTGAGCAGATCCTTCATGACAGGGCGCAGATTACAAATGCAGCAAGACGCTTCCCTTGGTCTATTTTATATTCTCCAGAATGTTTCTTTAATATCAGAAAGTCCAAGATTTCACAAGCCTCATAAGTAAAACCAAGTATCTTTTAAAACCTTTTCAAAATGAAAATCAAAATCTTCGATGGCCTCTTCTTAACACCTATGGACATTCTAAATGTTGCAAGTGTCAAAATTGAAATATTAACATTAATCCTTGTTGAAATGCTGATTTTTGGGACAATTATTTCTGAGAAATTCACTGCATGATCTGATTACAGGCTGCTGGTTGGACTGATATTTTGGCCTGACCACAAGTAAGAGACCTTTCCACATCGATCATTTTCCTTGAGGGGAAAAAAAATCCACGGTACTCATATGAAAGCTTTCCTTAAAGGCATAAACACGTGACATAAATGCATGAGCCACTATTTATCAGTCAGCAAATGGAATTACTATGTACATCTGCTTGCTCTAAAAGCATATATGAATGTATTCGTTTTAAATAACTCTTTTAGCATCATCTAAGCCAACTTTCAGACTACAAAGAAATAAAACCGTCTAAAATACTAGCTATATATTAATGAATCCCTTAGTACATGATCTGGGGTAGAGTTAAGAGTTTCTTCTTTCATTTGTCTGTGCTAATATTTTTAGTGAATCATTTCTCAAACAGGAAACAAAATCAAAAAGATTTCAGTCATTCTGAAAACAAGAAACTATTCCTTCTGCATTTGGAATAAACTCAGAAGAATTTTATCTTTTAACAAGGGATCTCTGTTTAGTTTTTCCTGAATTTTAAAACTGTAATGTAAAAATCTTCCGACTAACATAACAGCCAGTTCGTGTGCAGTTATATTCTAAGATGCCTGTTTGCTGAAAGAAGCTGTACAACCTGTCCTAGTAAAAGAGACAACAGAGTAAACCTATGCAGCAAAATAATCTGTAATAATCAAGAAAATATATACTCCTACACACTCTTATATATGGAGATGTCTTATCTAGATACTAGTCACATGCAGATTGATTTATCTTTGTACTCATAGCAATTTGTGAAATATTTAGAGAATTCAAGGTAAGCTAACCTGATGTCCTAAAAAGAGCACAACCTCTCACTCAACTGGAAAACAATGCAGGACCGAAGACTAAGAAAACAATGATATAATTCCATATAATTTACCAGCAGCACACTGGAGTGATGCCTTGAAATTAGGGCTAAGTGGTCAAGACAGAAACTCCTCTAAGCTTGGAGCTAGACAGACGAACTGAGCTGTTTTTCTTCATTTTGCCAGTCTCTCTTACTGAACAGAGATTACGTTTGTTTGAACACCTCTAGAGCTGGCAATTAAAAATAAAAACAAGAATTCACCCAGTCCACTCCAAAACTAGAGCAATAAATGATCTGAAATGTAATTTCGGTCTTGAATAGGCAAACAATTATTACAGCCCATGCGGTTCTCATTACTTGCTCAAATCCACTTGGAATGCAATTTTATCAGTTTCTAGAGAGGGTTTTTAAAACAAGGAATGTGATGTCTCAGCAAAAGAGGTTGTTTGAAGACAGCATAAATGAAGATTATCAAAACAAACAGTGACATGTCCCATTTGATACTGAGACCAAGGACTAAAGAAATGAATAGCAATGTGACTTTGATTTATTCCACCAGGGTCTTTTAAAGCTAACTTGAGCAGTAAAAGTCATTACCAAACAGTTTCACAACCACTGAATAAGCAACCATCTACTGTTAAGACATTATAAGCTGTTGCACAAAACATGCAGCTGCTTTCAGCTGAACTCTGCTCCATTCCACTGAGATTCACATCAAATCATGATAATAAAATACTGTCACCTACAGCTAGAACAGGCTAATGTCCCAGTCCTGGTACTTTCCATGCAGGTTCACTCAGTTGTAGGAATAGGTTTCCTAAATCACACCTTTATTTTCATTTAAGCAATTCACTGAAATATAAGTGCCCTAGTTCCACACTTGTTTAGCCTAACTTCTCACTAAAGTCAACAGAAATTTGACATGAGTGAAAATACTACATTACATTGCAGCAACTCAGCAATATTTTACTTTTAAATCCATTAATTTAGTGGGCAATCTTTTGAAACAGAAGAATGAAGATTGAATCATGTGTCAAAGGCTTACTTTAATGTCAACTTTTGTTTGGTCTTTCTACAACACAACAGAATCATCACGATAAAATTATAATGCTCTTGATACACCAAAAGCTTCTCTGCAACTGCTCTCCCTACTTTGAGTTTTTCTTAAAACTAGTGGGAGACAGGGCGTCACCTACCATTGAGAGAATTCGGCCCGATAGAAAAGTTGAGGGGGCAGGCTCTCAGGGAGGCATGACAGAGGAATTTAGATCATATAGTAGAGCTGACCGCCAACAGTCAGGAACATCAGATCCCTCCAGTTTTTGTATTCAAATTTTATTTCTCATGCAAACTCTCCGCTGTCTCTTCTTTCAGAACAGTTTTGAAAACGTGGGAGCTTTTTGGTATTGAGTGTTCGGGGTGGGATGGGGAAGAGGTTGGCTGAATTACAAGGATGGCCAAATCGCTGGTTGACCAGTGTTGAGATGGTTGAGCACTATAGCCTCCCAGGTTAACAGTTATTCTTTCATTTGTGTATCTTCCAAATTTAGAGCTTTCTTCTGTAGGTACCGGTATATATAAAACCTTTTTTTAGTATACACCTGAATTAGCTTTTGTTAAGTGGGGGGGGGAAGGTTGGGCAGTTGTCCATTTGGGTTTTGAGGATGAGTGTTTGCTTGTTTGGGATTTAGCTCCTGTTTGAGGATTTGCTTAAAGAACTGGAAAACATTTCTAGTTTTGCTGTGCAAGCCATGAGTTAATTTGCACCTCAGAAGTTTCAGTTCACTGAGGTGGGAGTCTCTGGGAAACATTGCGCTCCCCTGCACGACTGAAGCTCAGCCTGGCCCATGATTCAACCACAGACACTTGGATTCTCCTGGACATATAAATCAGTCTGTCCTCTGTCAGAGCCATGAGAGCACTTTAAAAAAATGCTGATTCTTGTTTCCTTGTTACTGGAATGAAATAATTTTTGTTGTTTCTATTTAGAATGACAGTGCCCAGGGTGAAGAGGACTGACTTTGCAGTAAATTACACTGTAGCGTATTTTAAACCTTATGCTAAAAATTAAAAGGACAAAGATGTCATCATTAAGGGCATCTCTGACTCTAGACAGAGCCAAAGCAGTGACTGCTGGCCTGAGGGTGAAATGGATAAAATGGGGCTGTCTGCCTCATATATGCCTTTGCCAAGATTTGGAAGCGCACTGGGACACTACTGCTTTTTCTTCCTCTTTTCCTCCTTTTCCTTTTGTACCTCTCCCCCTCAGGTACCCAGCGAATAGCTGTAACAAACACCAATTAGAGAGTCAGCTTCTAAAGCTACCAAGAGGCTCAAGCCTTTGTCTTTTCTACAATTTTGACGTGACTTTCTCTAAATTATGTGATTTGATTGTTCTTTCCCACTCTTT